AAATGTACCCCTCCCACCCCAAATAAGTAAAAAATATTAAATAAATGAAACAGTCATTTTTAAGATATTGAACACCAGCCAATGAAGGATAGAGGCCCCTAAAAAGCAAAAACCAAAGAGCCCATGTGTCTCCCTAAACTGAGAAGGATCTAGGAGTCGGGGGGAAGCCCAGGAAGATAGTAGGGTACGTGGGGAAGACAAGCCACAAAAAGGCTCTGGAGATCTGCAAAAGATCAGAGCTACAGAAGGTCCCCCTGAGCCTTCAGACGAGTTTAACCCTATAAGCACGTGGGAAACCCCTAAAGAAACACTGGGGTTGGGGTGGACAGTGCTGAAAGAATTAGATAACCAATCCCAAGAGGTCACATAGACCCAGGGGTACTTCCTTTAAATCAGCTACAGTGCTAAACCCCACAGTTCACAGATCAAATCAAATATCAGTTAGAATACAAAAAACTGAAACTCTCAGATATTATTACCGGGAATGTAAAGTAATTAATGACTTTGGAAATCAATTTGACCCATTATAAAAAGTTAATTTCATTTACCATATGACCCAGTCATTCCTCGCCTAGATACCTACTCAAGAGAAATGAAACATGTGTCTGTAAAACAACATGTTCGTGAGTGCTCACAACAGCTTTATTTATAAAAGCCAAAGATGAAACAACCCAAATGTCCATCCATACAGTGGACAAATTGGGATATACCCATCTAATGAGATAACATTCAGCAAAAAGAGAAATCAAACATTGGTGAACTACAGAATAATTATGATGAGTGAAACAAGCCTGAGAAAAAGACTACATACTGTAAGATTCCATTTGCATTAAAAATGTAAATGCAAGGGCTGGGGTTGTGGCTCAGAGGCAGACTGCTTGCCTGGCATGTGTGAGGCACTGTGTTCAATCCTCGGCACCACATAAAAAGAAAATAAAGGTACTGAGTTCACTACAACTAATATATAAATATATATATATAAAAAATGTAAATGTAAATTAAATTATAGTGACAGAAAGCAAAGCAGTGTTGCAAGGGGTGAAGAGGTGGATTACAAAAGGACAGAGGGAGATACACACACACACACACACACACACACACACACACACATCTCCAAACCCCAAAATGTACACTTTAAATATATGCAGTTTATTGTGTCAATCATATCTTAGTAAAACTGTTTAAAAAAAGAAATTAAAACATATCAAAATTTGGGTAAAGCAGTACTTCAAGAACTTACAGCTTTGTTGAGTTAAAAAAAAAAAAAAAAAAAGTAAAGGGGTATAGGCCA